GTACGTACGGTACGGTACCGTACCGTACGTACGTACGACTACGTACTACTACGTACGTACGTAACGTAACGTAACGTACGTATACGTACTACTCTCTCTCTCTCTCTCTCTCTCTCTCTCTCTCTCTCTCTCTCTCTCTCTCTCTCTCTCCCTTGTTGACAGTAAGTTTTCATCTGATACATTTGTGATTTTTGTGTTGTTGCCTCATTTTCGTCTGTTTCTCTCAAATTGGTGGGTCAAAATTTTTTTTGGAGTTAGGCTCTGTAAGAAAATAGGAAAAAGTGGTCCTGTTTAATTACTTTATAGTTAGAGATAAGAAGAAACCCAGTGTGGGGTTCTAAAGATAACACTGACGGAACTTTTTGCATGTCCATGCGTTTTATGGGAAATCTGTCTCCGAAAGAGACAAATATTTATCAGTAAATTCGCAAAATACATGGATTCTCGCAAATTTTAACTGTCACATATGTGACCTTATCTGGGCTCAGAAATTTTCAATAATATGTTTATTATGATCTTATTTACCGTTGGGATAAGGCTCTAATAATGATGATTTTTATTATGATTTTAATTTTATGCATTTCTTTTTTCCATTAACTGTTTGTGCATTTTCAAAATTTCAAAATGTAATTTTTAACATGCATACTCTTGTTTGTGGTTTCCAGGTAATCTGTTCATTATGTGCCACTGAGCAAGAGGTAAGATTATAAAGTCTGATTCAGTTTCAGTGAGATAAATCATACATTTGTTTTTTAGATTCATGTTTAATAATGTCCAGTGCTTGTTGTAAATTCCAGGTTCAAGAGAATTGCAAAAACTGTGGGGTTTGTATGGGAAGATATTACTGCGCAAAGTGCAAATTTTATGATGATGATGTATGTCCTCTAGTCTACTATTGTTTCTAATCTCTCTCTCTCTCTCTCTCTCTCTCACACACACACACACACACACACACGCACCACATTTTTTCCTTGATATGACTGGCAAATGCTTAAACACATGCAACTTTTGTCTGTTGCCTTGTGATGCAAGGATAGTTTTGTATGATAATGCTAAATGTTTTATCCGTTTATAAACGAGAGTTCTTAAACATATTCTGAAAATGAGATTTTTGAATGTAACAGGTGTCAAAGAAACAGTATCACTGTGATGGATGTGGAATCTGCAGGTTAGTTGATGGAAGTTTTCTCAATAGAATATCTATCGGTTATTGTTTTCTGCTCCTATTGCAATTTATCGAACTTTCTTTTGTAGCACAAATCATTAATCTCAAGGTTATTTGCTCTAATCTGTTGACCTTTGTTTATTAAATTTGATTTGGACAACATTTTCAAAAAAAAAGAGAAGATGATTTGGAGTTCCATTGGTTTTCCGAAGTTTGAGGCTGCTACCTTTCACAATATGCCATCTTGCTTAAGTTTTTGTTAATCTCTCTCTCTGTCTCTCTCTCTTGAACGTTAACTTGGTGAGAATAGAACTGTAGACATCATGTTATGACAACCCCATGCTGACCACCTTTGCCTAGAGCATGTTCTCTTTTTCTCTCTTTTTCTTTTTTATCGTTATCTGGTCCCAGTGAATGATACATGTATAATGATTTTTTTGTCTCGGGCAGTTCGGCAATAGGAACATATATCGAATTCCTTATCCTGATTGCACTATAAAAGTTTCAAATGTTTTCATTGGCCCAATTTATTCATCTGTGACAATTCTTGTTTTGCAGAATTGGAGGCCAAGAGAATTTCTTTCACTGTTACAAATGTGGTAAGATTTCTTCAGATTCCTGAACCAATTCTTCCTATTCTTGCTCTTTTTATGCATTTATATGTCTTCCAACATATCTACTATTTTTTAGAATTTTATGTGCTATCTATTCTTTCAAGTGATATGGTGCTTTGTTCAACTATGTCTTTTAGGGTGTTGCTACTCCATCGAGTTGAAAGACTCTCACCCTTGTGTGGAAAGAGCAATGCACCACAATTGCCCTGTCTGCTTTGAGGTAAGCTTTTTATTGACACCTTTTATTAACTGTGGATTGGGTTGCACAACTGGTCCATTCAATATCTTATGCTTCCTCTACCACCCTTCTTATTGTGGATTTTGTATTGCATTTTGTGGGATACAGTATTTGTTTGACTCTACAAAAGACATCAGTGTGATGCGTTGTGGGCATACCATTCATTCGGAGTGTCTAAATGAGATGAAGCACCATTTTCAGTAAGTTACTCTTTTTTTCCTTTCTTCTTTTATGTAGCTTAGAAAGAGAGCAAGAAAAAATCTAAAATGGATATATTTCTTTCTTCGAAAGTTGCAATTCTGTTATGTTTTGAGAGGTTTGGCTCACTCCAAAGGTTTCTGTTATTTTGTCCTTTTCTTTTACCTTTTTTCAGTGGGTAGTATTTGGTGTTGCAGAACCCTTCTCCCACAATTACCTAGAGCAAGATAATGACATTCTTTTAAAAAAAATTTGGTGATAAAAATGATGTTATCACTAATGCAGAAAAGAGAGTACGAAACACATAGAAGAAGGCATCCTATTAGAGCACTGTCATTAAATTATAAAACTGGAAAGACGGTCACACACATTCTTATTGTTGAAGTTGTGTCCAAAACTTGCAGATTCACATGCCCAGTTTGTTCGAGGTCAATTTGTGATATGTCAAACGTGTGGCAAAAGATGGACGAGGAGGTATGCCTATGGTCCATGTAACTTTGTATCTTGAATTCTCTAAAGACCAGATTCTCATATGCTAAAGAGCTTTGCCTATGATCCATTTAACTTTGTATCTTGAATTCTCTAAAGACCAGATTCTCATATGCTAAAGACCTTCCATGGAATTGTATTTCAGGTTGCAGCCACACCCATGCCTACGATATACCAAAACAAGATGGTAAGTAAGAGTTGTGAAGGATTTCTACTCCAATGGTCCATAGTATATGATATTATTTCGGTGGCACTACACTGTTCTCTCTTACTATTGGATGATGGAAGATTGACCGTGCTGCGGCCCACAAGAACATTCACCTAGTTATGGTTAATCTCCAACCATCTATCAGTAAGATGGACAGTGGATGCAGCTTTTAGTACCATATGGATTATATAAGAGTCTAACTGAGCTATAATATACGCCCTAAGTATTTACTTCAACTAACCTTGACTGATTCGTGTATTGGAGTATGAGCTAATTGTGTTGAATTCAACCATCAGGTGTGGATCCTTTGTAATGACTGTGGAGTCACCTCGGAGGTCCACTTCCACATCGTTGCTCACAAATGCCTCAATTGCAATTCCTACAATACGCGGCAAACAAGGGGGGGACCGGCATCTTGCTCATCAAGAATTTGAAACTTCATGTATTCGAAATTTCCTTCCCATAGCCCAATTCTTATTCCATGCCAAAGAAACATAATTGAGTAAGGATTATACAAAAAATTAGATGATTGATTTCTTAATTGTGGGAGAAAGGCTGTGCATACCTTGCGCTTCATGCTTCGAAACAGGGCTTCCAAAACAGAGTAGATTGTTTTTGTCTTAGGGCTTACTCTAGCATGCCAAACTTGAAATAACTCCCAAGTATTTGCTGAAACTTGAGTGCAATATATGCACATCAATCAAATTGGAGGAATGATAATGGGTGCTTCGTGGAAGACCATGGCGACATTTCGTTGTTGTATATGAATGTTGATGGAGGCCAAACGAGAAAGACAACAGTCTTGCATGTTCTTGCCGTTGTTTGTCGGAGAGAAGGCCAGTTATCATCATGCGAAAGACATTACCCATGTGGGGCTTGATATACTTTTGTCAATAATTGATTTCACGATAAAAGTTGCGCTGTGTTTTGCTATTTGTGTGTTTTGCTATTTATGTAGGGTTTGTCTCCATGAATTGATGCAATTTTGTTTCTCGTCTATATTCCTTATCCACAGTTCCTCGCGGTTCGAGCTCGTGGTTTGCTGGTTAGTGTGTTGAGTTCCATAAGATAGCATTAAGGATCGCCGTCAGCGAAGGTGCCCGAATGAATAACTGTAGGCTGTTGTGATAGTTGAACACAGACTGAATGTCCGAATTCCAGTCGAACGGCTACTAAAGACACTATATAGAGTAGAAGCTCTAAACAATCAAATTAGAGCTCACCTCAAAAATTTCATTAGAAGAGGTTGTTTTGATGTCCAAATATCCTCAATTGATCTTCTTGAAATCAAGATGCATGGACATGAAAAAAAAATAGATTTCAAATTTTAGAAATAGTGCATTTTGAAACGCATTATTTTCAAGGTTGTCATGGATGTGTCTGATTTATACTAGTTTTGAAGCTCTAATTCGATAATTAAAGATGAAAATATATTTTAAGACTTATCACAAAGATTTCACGAATTGAAACCACATTTTTCAACACTATTTGAAGGTACGTTTTACTTTGATTGTTTAGAACCTTTGCTCTATACAAACTGCACCCCTCTATATATATTGTAACAAATTATGCCTTAAAAATAAGTGTTCACAGATACATTTTTCTAGTTTTTAATTTTATAGTCCGTGATGGAAATTGGTTTTAAAGCCATCATGAAGATTTCCACTGCTGAAAGTGCTATCAGGATGAAGATTTCCACTGCTGAAAGTGCTATCAGGATGAGGATTTGAGGATGAGGATTTGAGGTGAAGCTTTACTTTGTTTTCATAAAGCCTAGGTCTTATAGAAATTTCATCCTTTCGATTTTGTTTTTAGACTGGCTATTTTGGTTCTTTGCTTATCATCAATTTTTTGTGTCGCAAAAACATGGATCTAAAGCGAGAATGTATCCGAGATCCTAAATCTATCTCCAATATGGACTTTAGGACGGTGGCATAGGACATGGTTTAAACTTTTTCCTAACAAACAAGACCATGAATAGCTGCCCATGTGCCATGTGCTTACATGGATCGAGGTGTATGCGCCTTCAATGGAAGTGGTTGATGAATGGTCACCATTCAACCCAAAAATTTTATTTACTCCACTCAAAAAATTTTTCAACAGCACTTAACCAATCAAGCCTCTATACCCGAGTCGGTTGTGGGACCCAATTTGTCTCTACAATGAATTTTGGTGTAAAATCCATGTGGTTGCAAGCGCCATCTTTTCAATGAATGGTATCCTCCAACCACTACAACTTTTATTTAATTTCGCTTAGGTCTCTTCCAGATACCCTCCATGGATGTGTTTATGTTGTCCTTAATTTCTTGATTCACAAACTCCATGATTTGTAGCAAAATATCATCGATTGTGAGAGCAGGTTTTGGTGGCATCATGATTGATGGATCTTACTTGTTCTGATACCAATTAATACCAAGAGAAAATAATAACCTAAAAAATTAAAATTAAATTAAAGAGTTGAGAGATTATACTCTCTCTTTGAGTCTACAAGAGAATCTATCCCAAGATATTTTACTAAAGATCAAACTCTTTTTTTATTCTTTCACATCTTCAAAAGGGACCTCTTCCCTCTAAATACAAGTTAGAATAAATAATTAAAATTAGAAAAAAAAAAAAACCAAGGACTCCCTCTCTCCCACATTTCTTTTAATCCCACATCTCTCTCTCTATCTTCTTATTTTTTTCTCACCTCAATCCCATGTTTTCCCTATGTCTATTGCTCTTTCCTTCTCAAGTAAATCCCCTAAAATCTCTCTCAATAATATTTCCTTAGATTATCCAATATGACTTCCTCGATATCCTCATGCACAACCTCCTCCCACCTTAACTTATCCTCTTGCACCAACTCTTAATTTCTGAAAAAAAAAAGATAACTACAAAAATAGTAAAATTAAAAATATAAATTTCCCTATTTTTTTGCATCAGTACACTCCACCCATAATCTTTGACGAACTATCTTTTTCCATCATTACAAAGCCAAAATCTCTTACTCTGTAAGAAGCAAAATAATGTCTATGTAGGGTGACATAAAATGATGCTCTGATATCGACATGAACATTATTTGCACTTGTCACCATAGTTTCCAACCACACCATATCTATGGTTATTGCAGTGATTTCTCTACCATCATTCTTGGGATTGTCCTCATTCCGCTCTTTCTTGAGCTTCCAACATTTTTTTTAATATGTCCTTCCTTGCCACAACGAAAACATGTGATCCCATTTTTCTTCTTCAATCTAGATTTATCATTAAATCTGTTTGATCGGTTTTGATTCCAATTCCCAGATCTCCCAATTCCTAGATCTATATCGAGCTTGCGAGTTCGATGTGACAAAGGATCCTTATCATCTCCTCATTCAGCAGGCTGTTAATGACCCGACTCTTGCTCACCAGCCCGTCAGGTGACGAGCTACTTTAGGAGATTACCAGGGTCTCCGAATTGTCCGGTAGTGCATCAAGAAAAAGCATATCTTGTAGCTCATCTTCTAGGAACAACTTCATCGTTGCGAATTGGCTAATAGTGCTTTGCACCTCATTTAGGTGCACTACAACGGATTCCTCATCCGTGAACCTCATGTTCACCACTTTTTGGATTAAGAACGCCTTATTTTCGGCGGTCTTTCTATCTCACAATCATGTAGCTTATTCCTAATGACTTGAAAGATATATCTATTGATATATGGTGGAACACATTTTCATCCCAGCATTGTCACCTTTAGGTCAAGTCTCTTCCACTCGTCATCAGTCATACCTTGAGGCTTGTGTTCTACCCTTTCATTAGGTGTGTACAAGTTCATATAGGGTAGAAGATCTTCCATCTTTGGCTTCTAGATGATCCAATTATTCTTGTTGAGCGATACCATACTTGAATCCATTTTTAGTCCATGCATACAATCTTTACACCATTCTCTTCGCCCTTTTTTCCTTGGAGGATCACCATCTGTTAAAGTTTCTTTGACGATTAGTGTCTTTGGCAGATAAGGTGCCTCTATCGGTTAAGTTTGCCCTTGGCGGTTAAGGTGCCTCCGTCAATTAAGATGACTCCAAAAATTAAGGTGCCTCCAACGGTTTAGGTGCCTCTGTCAGTTAAGGATGCCTTTGGCAGTTAAAATGCCTCCAACGGTTAAGGTGCCTCTGTCAGTTAAGGATGCCTCTAGTGACTTTGTCAGTTAAGGGCGATTATGTTAGTTAAGATTGACTTTGTCGATTGACGGTGGCTTTGTTGGTTAAGTGCCCCACCAGAAGTTAAGGTGTCGTCAGCGGTTAAAGTCCCACCGGCTGTCAAGGTATCACCATCAGTTGAGGTTCATCATCGGTTAATTGTCGGTCAAGGTGTTAACTAATGGTTTGTCAACAACGACCTTCTTTGGATATTGGTCACTCACCAACGATCTCTTTTGACTGACAAGGTGTCCCTAAAAGCTCCCTTTACCTGAGAGGTTTTTTCCCTTGCTCATTCTACGCTCCATCAGGTAGTTCAAAAAGGGTTCCAGCCTACCTAGGAGATTTAGCAAAGAATTAAGGGAAAATCGTGCGCTCTACTACCACTTGTTGAGCTCATCCAGTGGAGCCCTCTTGCAAATCAGTGGATGTGCATAGCGGAATTCAGATTCGGTACAAAATAAACCAAAAATCTACGTATTTTTGAATGAGTGAAAATAGCAATCAAATAAATAAATAATGATACCGATATTTTACTTGGTTCACTTTTCTAGCAACGTCCACGGGAGAAATGAATTAGATCCACCATTAAAAATAATAGTACAAAATTATACAAGAAACACTTGAGCTCTCTAACTTCTTCCGGATAATATATCTAAGGTTATTATGTCTCTTAAAGGTTTTTTTTTTTTTTCTTTTAGGCTTTTTCCCTTTAAAAGAAAAAGTTATTTCTAACAAGCTTCTCTCTTTTCTTCTTCTCTATAAAAAAAGAAAAAAGAAAAAAAGATCGCTATATTTTCCTCTCTCTACAATGGAAAAGCTCCCATCAATAATAAGAGACTTATGTTAAAGCAACAGGACACGAGCCAAGACCCCACCCCTTTATGTAAACTTTGATTTTGTTCAGTCTCTCTCTAAAAATTCTCCAACTACAAGCGTCACTTCCCTCATGTTTGCATACCTAAACGACCCACTCTCCTCTAGCGCATTATGACCAACTATGTCTCTCTCGCTAGAGGGGATTGGCTTGTTTTCTTTCTAGCGGATTGCCTTCGACGTGTATAGCTCATCCTGACCAGACATTGTGCTTGACAACCCAGGATGAAGAGGAGGAGCCAGCCAAAGATGACTGGGCCACAAAAGATTAGTATCAGGAGCACGTTTGATAATTGGAATTTAAATCATACGGAATCCTAAATTCCAACCTGCACCTATGGTTCTAAGTTCGGATAGGTTCTATTTTAAGCTGTGAGAAGTTTATCTTCCTCAAAAATGGGGATAGTGGCCCTTCAACCCCATACAGAGAGCGAAGCTTAAGGAACATGGATCACACACCGCGGACATAAAATAAAAAATTCCCTCACTTCGCTTGGGCATAGGGGTAAGGTGACCCGATATGGA